TTATTTTCTTTTTAACAAGTAGAGAAAAAACGTGCAGAAACCTCGACAAAAGTATATCGATATTGTCATCGCCATCGTCATCATTATCATGCCAATTTGTCCACAACTGTAGTCATTACCGAGAGGTTAGTCACATTTTGTGAGTTCGCTTTTCGATTTTTCGACAAGAGTTTTATGTACTGTCTATCCCTCTAGAGTTCATTTCAGTTCTCCTTAAAAATAAAAACCTTAATGAAAATATTCTTTTACAAGTGCTTTGCATATTTACCCTTGAAAATTTCGTCAATTTTACTTCTAGATCATAAAAGCACGAGATGTAACAATAAATCAGTTGATTGCTAAGGAGATAAATCCACAGAGGTTGTCTAAATAACACTTTTGAGTGACTAGGTGACTTCACCGCACCGAAAATAGCAATAATTGTCTCATAACTCGAATTTCATCATACTAAAGCAGTAATAACACATGATTCGTCAGGCCTTATCAATAACTCGGAATCTACTTTTGGTTGTATTGCATGGGGTCTTGCGTCAGTGAAACTGTTAAGATAAAGTTTTGGAATAGCCGTTCTTTCTGTTTTGTGTGTGCTTTAGCTCAGGTCAGGTGATGTCAGCGTTTAATATCTTTAAAATCACACACAATGGGGTTACATACCTCAACATATCCACTCCCAAGTACCGGTACTTGCTCTCACTAGATCTTTGTCTAGCGAGAAACCCTACTACAAGTCATAGACGTACCTCTAGTTTTTTTTAAATACATTCATCAGTACACCATTTAATTTTGTAAATTCAAGAGAACATCAGCCTATTTCAAAGGGCGACAACTTTTTTCTCGGAAATTGCAAAACACTTTTCTCGGAAAAAAGCAACGTGGTTTGAGGTTGGGGAGAGGAGAGAAGTTTCCGACACAAAACGAGCTTTTGAAATTTACCCCTGCCTGTTTCAGCAGTTTCGGTTAGAAGTTGTAACTAAAAGTACAGTCTGCATCTGTTTCCTTTGATTCCCACTAACTGGCACGATTTTCTATTTTAATCGTCTTCATTATTCAGTTTTCTGAGAAAGTCTTGAAAGTCTTGGGGACGGGTGGGTGGGGAGGTCAGGTCACACAAATTAAAAGTATCATCACACAACATTCAATTTCTGGGTTGAATTAGTTAGTTTCCAGTAGAATTTGGCACAATTTCGACCAATTGAAAATCGCACTCTCTCAGACCTATACTAATCACCTTTTCATAGCAATATTTCTGGTATTTTACCTCCTTCCTGTAATAGTGATGCTGAATAAAATGCGTCAAGACTCAATGAGATTCTCTGATGTTACACACAAGGCATGCGTCTTTCAGATTCTCAGTGGGAATTTTTTAATTCATCTTGTGTGGCTATGGTACTCCACACACAAATGTTTTATCGCAGAAGGCCCGACAAAATTGAGATGTTTGCGACAATATCTGTGACACATCTCTCAACATTTCATTTCACAGTGCTTAACAGCCGTACGGATCGACTAGAGTGAGTCTGTGAGATAACTTGTCACGCTTGGTTTTTGATTCGCGGTCTTGGTGGGTGACATTTTGACCGAACACAAGAAACTATAACCTATCGTCGAACAACAGAAGGCGTAGACTCCAGGCCAGCTATTTCCTGCACAGGAGTAGCAATGGTTTTGTTATATTGTTCCCGGCTGGGTTGCTTGTTTATCTCAAGGAATATTCTTCGGGCTCATCAGCCTACAGAAGACCAGTCTTAGCTAGTGTAATATCCCTGAATGATGACAAAAATTTGCCACAAACTGCAACGACGCAGGGGTAACAAAAAGATAGAGTTGTAAAACTGATGATTATGTACAAAGAAGAAAGGCAATTCGAAAACGCCTCTTAATGAAAATTCTGACGTCATTGAGTCTGTTAGTGGAGAATAAATTGACCCTTTCCCTAACCAATGCTAACAATTCTTAATATAGTTATCAACTACTAATATTAGAAGTGCTTGGGAACTACTAAAATTAGGTTAGTAAAGAATAAATTGACCCTTTCCCTAACCAATGCTAACAATTCTTAATATATGAAGGTGTAGTCTGATCGTCCGGGTGAGTATAGTCCTGAGAAGGACTGTTGTCGGTGGCAGTGACTGACGTTTCGACAACCTGTGCGGAAGTCATCATCAGAGTCAAGTGAATGATTGTTGTCAGTAGAATGTTCTTATTCCAGTTCGTGTGAAATGATCGGTTGGTTTTGCCGTGATGTTATTGGCTGTAAGACNTTGATAACTATATTAAGAATTGCAGTAAATGGTTTGAACCCGGGGGTAACATGTGAAGGTGTAGTCTGATCGTCCGGGTGAGTGTAGTCCTGAGAAGGACTGTTGTCGGTGGCAGTGACTGACGTTTCGACAACCTGTGCGGAAGTCATCATCAGAGTGCGGAAGTCATCATCTCTGATGATGACTTCCGCACAGGTTGTCGAAACGTCAGTCACTGCCACCGACAACAGTCCTTCTCAGGACTACACTCACCCGGACGATCAGACTACACCTTCACATGTTACCCCCGGGTTCAAACCATTTACTGCAATTCTTAATATAGTTATCAACTACTAATATTAGAAGTGCTTGGGAACTACTAAAATTAGGAATTAGAATTGGGAAATGTTTAGGAGAGTTAGATTATTTTGAAATCCACGTGCGAGTCTTGTGAGCCTTGAGACAAAACATCTATTTCTATATTTTAATTGATGAGTCCTTGACCGTTGTAATAGGGCATAACTCTTGAACGATGATCGTCATCGTTAGTTTGTTTGGTTTGTACATGTCCTTTACCTTGCTTAGATTCCTCAGCATGAAGTTTTGTCAAGGTTTAAGTTCTCGACGATTGGCTGTTTTTCAAGTACTTTGTTGTTCATTTCAAATGTTTGTGTTAGCGTTTTCAAAATATGTTTACTCTGCCAACGTCATTTGTGACCGTGAAAACAAAATTGATTTTGACCATATTTCAAAATATCATGCTCCATTAAGTTCTAGTTTCTGCTTCAACGTTCCTCCCGATGTGAAAAAATTAATTCTTTTTCCCTCCTCACACTCTATGTTTCACACTATTCAGAAATGCATAAAACCAAGCGTTTATTTAAACGCAAAAAGAATTATGGGATACGCCGCGTGACCCAGAGATGGTTTAGACTTCCAACCATTTCACATGATCATAGCGCCTTCGCCTTCGCCTTAGCTTGAAAGATAAATCTCCTTTCTGAACAAGATATGTCATAATCAGTTTATGCATTAAATATACATTAGGAGTGTTCCCTGTACCCCGAATCCACAAAGTTTTAAAAATCATTCAAACTGACCATGAAACTCGACATCGATGTGACGCTGGTGAATTAATGATATCTGTGGTGGTGGTTAGGAAAGGTTTGGTTGTGCCATACAATATTCTTTACAAGAGAAACGCAGAACAAAGAGTACATACCTAAATCATGCTTTGAAATGATTCGCTTATTCAGTCAGTTCAACGATTCTTTAAGAGTTTGTCCATTTCAAGTTTGTTTGATAGGCAAATCCTCACAGCTACATCTAAGGGCCAGATCATAATATTAATAATATTAAGAGTAACAGAAATAACATCCCGTGGCCGCGTGGCCCTCCTACTGACCTCCTACATGACCCAAACACTTTTAACTTCACCTGGAAAACAAGAGTTATAATTACCTTATTAGACGTTTTGTTGTAATGTATCGCTGAGTATTTTTACGAGTCGTGCCGTATTTATACAAATACAAAATACAAATAACGAGTAAAAATACCCAGCGATACGATACACCAAAACGTCTAATAAGTTATATATTATCCAACTCGCTAAATTGTTATTTCAGTGCAGGCGAATGTCGCGGATATTTATTTACGGGGAGCGCGTGACAGAAGTATGCGAAGCGGAACGGAATGGGAGCATTGTCGTGTTGCTCCTTCTATTTTCTTCAAAAAATGATGCTTTTTGAAGGAACATTACCAGGGTCATGACTAGCTTGGCTTTAAGTTCGTTCGGTCTACTTTCAATGTCTTAGGGAAAGGAGGTAACCACAACTCTGCGTCGTTCGTCTTCTAGACGATTGAGCACACCGGAAGAACCCACTCTTGAGGGCGAAAAAAAAACAAAAGTAGATACAGATACAAATATTGTGCTTGTTTTTCGTTTCTTTTTCGAAAAAGCCTACTTTCAAGAAAAGAAGCATGATTTTCAAAAACGATCATAATTTTGAGAATAATTTGGAAAACAATCGGGCAATCCTAGTGGCATGATATGCTACTTTCACTGGCGCAATCGCTCAGATACAAGTGATCCCAGACTTCCTTTCTTACCGGCTGTTTCAATGTTCGATTTTAAACACTGATCACGCGTCGAAAACGTGGAACTACAGGTAGCACAAGTTAGGTAGATATTGTCATCATCCAATAATTAAGATGTAATGATTTGTATGCAAAATAGTTGTTTATTGCGGCTGAAAAATATTGTGGTAGTTTCTATTAAAAGTTTTGGTGTGGTTATTTTCGGGATGTTACTAAAATTAGTAACGGGGACCGGGGAACGGGGAACAGGTGTACGGCGGTAACCCGCCTGAGAATTCAAAATGGCGGAGTAAAGGGAACTAAAAGGGTCGCGCACCTACACAGATACATGCATATACTTTTTGATAAGGCAGGTCGGTTTGCGGCAACCTAAAGGCTGGTGTGGACCTGCCAGTAACTCTATTAAAATCCATATTTACGCACAATCTTAAACATAAAAACCTTAAATCTAATTAATGAAATTTCTAAAAATAAAAACTAAAAGTATAAGAAATCTGATTGTTTTGATGTTACCATACAGGCATACGTTACGTTATGGAGCCCGGAAAAAAAACGTTCTTTTGCTTAAATGGACTGCGAAAGCACAAAGAGGGCAGTGGCTTGGGTAAATTTTGAGTAGACATCATTCAGATAAAAAAAAAAAAAACAAGATGATACGCATACCTCTTTTCCTTAAGATTACAATCTTCAATGGTGACCGAGACCTCAAATGACACCTACGATAACATAAGAGATGGTTTTCCCTCAATACAGATATTTTATTCATTACTGTAACGTTAATTGGTGATTTGGTGTTATGTTGTGATAGCTGACCTTTTGTCCAATCTGAACATTAGCGCAAGTCCTTGATCCAATTTGTACTCCATCACTACAAATAAAAAAAGTCTGCTTCAAAACAAGATTAAGCGCTCCAGTTGACACAACTTCACTGTTGGCCCAATGCTCGGATGCTCAGCAAACACGTGAAACATTAACTGAAAAATCATTGCTTGACAAGTTTTAGGCAATTCTTACATATAATTTGACCAAAAAAAAAAATTACGCAATAAAGAATTGTTAAGCACTTGTCAACAAGAAAAATTTGTGGTTGGTAGGACATCGCGTTTCGTCTAGACCAAAAGACTTCTGGGACACCTTTCGGAATGTTCAAATAAACTCCTTGTACATCGCGCTGGAAGTTAGAAGTCTAGCCAAAGGATTCCCAACCACATGTTTACAACTTGCAATTAATTATATAAAACTAAAATTTCCACCTAATCCAAGCTGTCTCACTCGAGAAAGTCCACTCTAGTCGTCCATAACATCTGTTATCCACACCGCAGTTTGCCATCAAGCAATCAACTTTAACTTTAAAACTATATTTAAGTAACAACTAGGAACAAAAGTTTATCACTTACGGACAGAAGGCTGTATAATTTACCCTCACACCCTCTGGTGCCGTGTCGCGAAT